AACTTAAATTTAAAAACATTGTTTAGAATTATCACTAGGTTGTCTGCACCAATAGAAATGCCTTCCTTCTGTTGATATACTTTTTCCCTTCCCTTTCTTATAAATACCCATTTTTGCTTTCGTCTCCTAATCAGAACATTATTTGGGCTTCTGCATGAATTAATGATACCTGAATAGCTATTCTTACTGATCTCAATAAAAGTGTGTTGCTTCTCACTTTTTAAAAGGCCTTTTATTTTTAGGTTAACATTGCCAATACTGCCCTGTTATTTTACTAGAGAAGTCAATGCTGAGTTTGAAGGGACTCATGAGTTAGCCTCTGTGAATAGTCTTCATGCAACACTACAAGGAAGAGTACTTTTAAAGAACTTGAGAAAACACCAATTCAGTGCAAACTGAAGTGGAATCTGCTACGATGTGAGGGTGGTAAAAATGTGTGTGGAGCAGGAAAAGGTTTACTGGGCAAATTTATAAAACTTCTGAAAATGTAAGATGATTAAAGTCAATATTTATATTTTATATCATTCAACAGCAGCTATTTTGTGTAAAATGCTTAAATCTGTCATGTTATTGAACTGGTAAATTTCATTTACTCTTTTAGGCTTACCCATCATCACTTCCATTAAGCTTTATCAGAAATAGGAACTAAATGTGCTGACTTGTCCAACTACACAGCAGTTTGATGGCAGCAAGACTAAAATTTTTCTGAATGAGGAATCACACACACCTTTTATTAACGAAAAGGTGAATAGCTTTGGAAATTAGCTTCTGCTGCAGATTTGATGTTTCTTAATAAGTTCAACTTAAAATTGTAAGGCAAAACAACACTTATATGTGAAACTTATTCTGCACTGGTCAATATGGTGACAACTAATGCTTTTTTACCTACTTCCCATGCTGGCAAGTTAAAATGAGCAGCAAGATCTCCATTTTCCACACAAATTTGCAGTGGGTATATTTTCCAAACACAACTACATTTTTAGTTGTATTTTTGGATTTCAATTCAAGTGCAAAAGAAATTTCCATATTTCAAAATCTAATCATACAATGGTGGAGCATATAACTATCCTTTAATAGGAAGTGATTAATCTGCAATGGAATGATTTGCCAAAAGGCAAATACCTAGAATTCTCTAACTACCTTCCAAATTATGAATATGCTCAATTAAAATCATACCCTAAGGATTGCTAACAGTATTTAGTAGTATCTATCTGTCTGAAGACATTTTCAAGGATGAGATATGTAAAATTACATCACAGACCAGCAAAACAGACACATTTGCAATTGATTTTGAAACCCAATTAAGTGAAATATTATCCCCTCAAAAATAATTCAATTCTTATCAGTAGACTGCATTACAAAAAAACTCGTATTCAAGGATTTATATTTTAAATTTTGTCAATTCAAAATTAATGGAAATTTGTTTTCTTTCTCATTACAGAAGTATATAAAATCCTCAATTTTGCCTTTGGCCCAGTCTAAACTTTACCAAAAAAAGTTTGCCAACTCCAAGTCTAGAGCACTGTGGTAGTGTTTTTCTATTTAAGTAAAATCACAGTATGATAAACATCCCATAAATAATCACTCTTTCTAACAAAACCTTTTTCATATCCCAGAAATATTACCTGGTAATTTTTCTGTATGTAGTCCTTTCTTTGGTTATGATCCATGTAGTCTTAGAAGTACATTTCCTAAGAAAATAACATGTGGCCCTGTATTAGAGCTGGGCAGAGAAAAAACTAGTTATCCTGAACATCAGCAAAGCTTTATAATTCAATTTATTTCTACTCTAGAAAAGTTAGCTTTAACTCTACTAATCCAATTCTACCACAAAATCCTTAAAAACTAAACAAGAGCAAAAATACATCAAATACGGTACTTATGACCTCCATTTTTACCTGATTCCAAAATATTTTTCAAATGTACTAATTATAAGTGTACGGGTTATATAATATATTCAGATTAATAAAAGCCTCAATAATAAGGTTTGCTAATTCAAAACAATTAGGTTTGGCTCTATATTTTGTTTTTCTCATGATAGCAGGTATCTATTGATTTTGCCTGTGCAGTATCCATTCACTCACTTTCTGATAATACTATTCTCATTTCCTTTTGGGTAACACTCCTTCTAAGCATTTCTCAATCCAATGTATCCTCTGAAAGTGGGAGAAGAGCTTTCCTTTAGCCATAGTAACTGGCTCGGGGTTGGGCATGTGCACCAATGAAGGGATAAATGTTAGTCTTAGGATTTTGTTGGAACTGCTGAGAGAAACTGCCCCATATTTTAGCTATAGAGGTCTGAAGCTGCTGGGTGGCTACTTTACATCACACATGAAAAATCCCCGACAATGAAAACAGCAAAACTGAGAGAGATGAACAGATTCCTGACTACACGGGGATCTAGCATGTCTGAAGCCAGTTCTACCACTAGACTGTTCAGCTAACTGTGCTATTGCATCAGCCACGTCAGGTTTTTATCACTTGCAATCCAAAGGGTGCTCACTAATGCAACTATGCAATCATTCAGATTTAACCCCCATCTTCAATCAGATTCTCCTACACAGGGCCTTTTATCTCCAGATCTTCTCATTGTTCCTGAATGCTGGTGCTCAGTGTGTGTTGCTTTGCCTTATCTTGACCTGTAGCATCTTTCAGTAAATAGAGCACCATTAACCCCACTTTGTGAAACCCCTTAAAGCACACAGAACAATGATAAACTGTGAGATATATGCCCCCCACCCATGATGGCAAAGTTTTTCACCTAAAGTTGGAGTAATAATTTCATTTATGTGGACATAATAGAACTTCATTCTTAAAAAGGAATGAGTCAGTTTATTTTCCTTGGTTTACTAGTGGCATTCACTTTAATTAATTGCTCCATTAAGTAGTTCATAGAAGTATAAAAAAATTGTTTAAACTTTCATTAAAGAAAGCTTAGATACTTCCTGGTATGTGCTCTTTACAGGGGGTTCAAACAAAGCAAAACAAAACCAAAAGCATATTCCTATAGCTCTGTTTCTCCCATATACTAAACTCAGTGAGCTGTATTTTAAAAATTTCTATCTCAAATTAGTGAGTGGCATCATCTTACCCATGATGAGAGGAAAGGGTTAAGAGCAAGTTTAAAAAAACTACCTTTATTTTTTATTTCGTTTTCAGTTACATACTTTTAAACAGGGATGTGTTTCATTATTCAGACATTCAGGCAATGTTGACTCATTAGTGTTGACAGAAAAGAAGCATAAAAATGCAAAACGTTGTTGGCTTAACCTGAACATACCTGCATTACCTATTACTGACCAGTCTGTGTTGCCAAAAGATTTATTCCTTGGCATTAAAATGGAGCAATTAAAAATATTGCTAAAAAGCAAATGTGTACACACTGGTCTTTGCAGCAAATAAGGGTATTTATACTTTAAAATATTTTAAGTCCATAATTGGATTAATATACACACCTTCTTATGTATAAGGAGTTCAGATCATATAAACACTGTACAGTCCAAAAACCCTACTAAGAATAAAACTAAATAGGCTTATGATAAGAAATACAGATATCGCATGTATTTACAAATATCAGAGACACACATATTTGGTCAAATACTGTAAAGAAAGAAGTGGTTTCACATTATAATGGCCAAAACATCCATCTACCTTGCTCAAAGCAAACAAAAATAACAACTTAGTATGTGACTTCTGCAGTTTAAGACACCATGACAGTATACAAATAGATAGGATGGAAACTGATGACCAAATTATACAGCAAATATTTCCTAGGCTGAGTGTAGGTCTTTAAATCAACAACTTAAAAAGATCTTCATAGGATTCAGAGCAACAATGATAAACAACGTCCAGATTTGCGGTATTTGTATGGGTTCCTAATTCATCAAAAACAATGCATTGAACTTTTGGCTAACGAGAAAAATAAATTACAAAGTACAATTAAATCCCTGTAAATGCAATAATGAAGTCAAAAATGTAGATTTATTTACTTTAATTACACATTTTAAATGTTACCTTGAGACAATAAAAATAAATAAGCGTGCCTGGCGGCTCGCACTTAAAGACGAAGAAGGGGCTGCAAGGAAGGAGGAAGTAACAATTTGATAAACAAAAAATGAGTATGAGATTTGAACAACATAATTCTTCCTAGCCAGTCTTTTTGTTTTAACTCTTCTTGAAAATCCTGGCTGGAAAGATGTGACAAAGAATACATGCCTTTATGGCTTAAAACAAAGCATACTTGAAAAATGGAATGGGTTTCCTTTTTTACAGAACCGTAACTTTGTTCATATGCAGGCACTTTAACAGACTATGGAGGCAAAGCACCTGACCCATCCTCTCCAAACTAGTTTTCAATCATCAAAATTAGGCTAAAACGTCGGAAAACTCCAGAGAGCCAGCAAAGTGGAATACAAGAGACTAATGTGCACAGAGGGCAATAAAGTGACCCAGTTTTTATTGCTGGGGATCTTTTTTATCAAAAAGCAAATAATTAACAGACACCATTGAGTGGCACATCCAAAGTTTTCTGCTCAAGGGAGAATGTAATCATTCAGCAGTGGGTTTCAATGGGATCCCCTTTGAATTCAACCTTATACATTGCAATAAGATTCACATTTATTTCTTCTCCTTAGTGTATTTTTTTTTTAAAAAACTCCCACATATCTCATTTCTCAAAGTATTCATCTCTTGCTGTCTAACACACATTATCTGGAAGCATAAAGTTACATTATACAAATGTTGCATTTTTTTTTTAATAAGTGCTTTTGCCACTTCAGCAACACTGTACTTCACATAGTGGTGCCACGAAAGCTGAGCTTAACCCTGGCCGGGTAGCTTAGCTGGTTAGAGCATTGTCATGATATGCCAAGGTTGCAGGTTTGATCCCCGGTCAGGGCACAAACAAGAATCAACCAATGAATGCACAAATAAGTGGAACAAGTCAATGTTTCTTTCTCCCTCTCTCTCTCTCAAAGCAATAAATAATTTTAAAAAATTAAAAAAAGCAGAACTCATAATTACCACATTACTTGTTATTCATTTTACCACTACCATCTGCCAAACACATAGAGCTTTTTCCTCAGTACCTCTGGGCAGTGACTGTACCATGATTTCAGAGAGAATTTTAGTATGACTCACAAATAGCAGTACCATCAGTAATACTGATATCAATGCAGATGTCACACCAAAAATGAACTTCTCAAGAATTACCTTCTTCAAATATTTGGGCAACTCTGTTTCCTTTGTTGTGTTACCACTGGGGAGAAAATTCCTGTTTGATTATGCTCTTACAGGAGTTATAAAAGACCAGATCAGGTATATAACTGGTTGACATTTAAGATACTGTACTGCTTTCCGTGGCAGGAGGAGAGCTTCTGAAAATGTTCTCTAGGACTGTTTTAACCAGTCCTACCTCATTGGTCCATTCCATTCACTGATGGGCAAAGCACTCATGTTTTGACAAAACGTTAAAGCTTCCATAATAGTTAAATTAGAAAAAAAATGTGAATGTAAGACAACCACACAATGAAGTATGAAAGTATGACATTTTTGTTTCTAAGAGTGAGTCCTTGAAAACATATGTGGTCACTACAGAGATGATTTTCATCACAAGACAGAAGATGAACACGCAAGTAACTCCCCATGATCTGCCTGTCTCCAGAGTCACTTGTGGCGCTGTATGGTTTTCCTTTTCCTTCGTTTGAAAAAACAGCAGCACCTGCAGATGGAAGGAAACACTTTTTAATTATAAAAGTACTAAAATGTCACAAAGTAAGGCTGACTCTAATCATATTACTTTAAATGGTCATAAAAAGCAACAGGCTAGTGCAAGATGAACAGTGAACATGCCAGTGAAGCATAGATATTAGTGAACTATAGCAGAATTATTGCTGTTGTTTTATCAACGTGCCTTTTAGAAAGAGCAAGACAATTCTAAGCAACAGTAAAAGGAGTCACTAAAGGGGATCTGAATCCGAACTGCCCCACCGTATTATCATTTGGGATACTCGTTAATCTCTGGCTATGGCATGCTTTTATAAAATTCATCTTGTGGATTCTCTCCCATTCTTCTTGGTATTTAATACATGATTGTTGAAACCATTGTTAGAAAAGCAATAATGATCCTCATATTGGGGATTTTGTTTTCATTAAGAATTCGTTTCAATTGCAAAAAAGAAAAAGAAAAATCTAAAATACACTCTTCAGCAAACACTTCCCATCACACAAACTGGAAGAGAGAAAACATACAAAACAGAGTAAGAATGTCACTGGCACTTTTTAATTCTTTAAGGGTTAAAGGTCAAGTGTATCGTGTTATTTTAATTAAGGTAAGAATTATAGTTAACATTTAAAATAGCACAATCAATGTGATTCAGTTTTGTATTTGAAAACTGATTGTTTTGTAGTCTATGAAGGAAATATTGTACTGTTTTTTATTCCTAGGCAAAAAAATCTAGAGATGATCCCTGAGAGAACTACCTTTTCTGGGGGTAAATTTTCCTAGTCATGAGAAGATGAAACACATGCAACCCATGTAGGGCAACACTAGGCTGGTAGGAACTGAAGGTCCATGAGAATGAGAATCACTGGTCAGCAATCAACAAAACAATATATATATATACATGAATATATGTATACATACATATATATATATATACAGTGTCCCCAAAAATGTATACACAATCTTTGAGTAATTACAGAAACAGTGTTTTTATTAAAATACATTTCATCTTCAAAATTGAGCTATCAGCTGGTAAAGTGCGTGTATACACACACACACACACACACACACACACACACACACACACACTCATATCCCCAAAAAGTCTGGCATTCCTTTCAAATAAAGGTCTAGTTTTCCTCTCCCACACTTAAAAGAAATTCAACCTATCCAATCTATGGGAATATAAAGATGACAGGCACTACATAAAAAGGGGCTCCTTTTGTTTCCCCACTGAAGTCATGTGTGTGTGTGTAAATCACATTTTGTAATAAAAGTAAGACACTGGTATATATACATGGTGATTCCATCAGCAAAATGCTGCCAATTCAAAGCTACATTATGGTGACCTTACAGAGATATTCCTGTAATTCTTACCAGCCCACCTTCCTAAAGAGATATTTAACTCAACATTTCCAAGCAACACATAACAGAGACCATGTAGCTTTATCTGTTCTACCTGGCAAAAGATTATGAAAGATGAAATAATTGCTAGATATCTTTTATATTTTTGGTGAAATAAATGTAAATAGAAATCCACCCTATGCAGTTAAATTATACAATATCTCTACCCACATCATAAAAATTAATTTCAGAAGAGGGGGCATGGGAGGTCATGGTTTGCTTCCTGGTCAGGTCACATGGCCCGGTTCTGGGCTTGATCCCCAGTAGGCAGTCTGCAGGAGACATCCAATCAATGATTCGCATCACTGATGTTTCTATCTCTCTCTCCCTCTCCCTTCCTCACTGAAATCAATTAAAAAATATATTATAAAAAGTGTTTAAAAAATTAATTTCAGACTCTTTATTGTGATTTATGCCATGATTATGAAAACACTATGGGGCACAATCACACAATTGCATTTTTTAAGTATACTTAAACAGCACATAATGACTAGACCATAAAATGTGAATAATTCAAAATTGTATGTATCACCTGGTAAAGATTCAACTAGAAATATGTGCAGTCATCAATCTTTATGATTTTTACTTTTATTGAAGTGAAATAAATTACCCAATCAAGGGCCTTAAAAAAAGCTACCACCATAAAAAAAGAATATGGGTACATTAGATTTTTCATGGACTTAGAAAAATAAGTCAAATTTATTTGTAACTGTTAGCTACCTAATACATTCTCAAATTGGTTATATAAATTTTCAAAAATAAAAAGTAAAACAAAAAATTATTCAAGTCAAATTACTCTCTATAAAATAAAAATCATTATTCCAAAAAGAACCTTTCAATTAAAAACTTAAGAGTCAGAACATGTCCATACTGTAAAAAACAAAATATTAAAAAATTGAGAGTTAGAAGAAACAAACCAAATATTTAGGATATTAAAGAATATGATCATATTTCAATGGAAATTTATTCATTGTTTAATATAAAGTCTACTAATAATGTTCACTGTTTCTAAATACTGTCACTGGCTACTGAAATTCCAAAATACATTCTTTTAAAAAATTTCCACTAAAAAGTGTCTTAAGCCTTTTGGAATGGGGAACTTAATGTAATACATGTTTTAATGAATAAGTCCAAGTCATAGATTTTCATGCTTGTATTAGCAATTCACCTTGCTTGCTTTATTTTACCAGTACCATTAATCACCTTTCAGTTCTGAGAGTTGAGTTCTTCCTACCTCTTAGGTATCCTTTCCTTCAACTGTGTAAGAATTATTGATAAAAAAAAAAAAATTCCCAAATTTATTTCAGATTAAATAAGATTTTCAAATGAATTATAATTTTACAAGAACTTTAAATTCAAAAGCAATCTAAAGATGACATCTATTTTTCAGGAAGCAATCCCATTAAATAGAGTACTGTATATCCTTGAAATAGATTTGCAAAAATAAAGCTGGAATGCCATTAAACTTACTACCACCAGAGGGCAGCATTGCTTTATATAATATGAATACATTCCAAATAGAAACAAAACAGAAGAAAATTGCTATTTAACTTGTGGCTGATTTCTTAAAGTCATTACCAAAACAGCTGATTTATAGTCTTTGTGATTAAGAAATTAGGTATCATCTCAATTATCTCCTGTCCCTGAGCACTGAACCTAAAACACAGTGCCCATACCATCACTCTATCACATGACTTTTATTTTCCTGTCAGTACTTAGTACTAATAATCTACATGTATTTCATGTCTTTATTATCTGCCTCCACATCAGATATAAGCTTCATAAGATCTTGCTCACAGGTACATCTCACAAATGGGCACAAAATTGTTACTCATTAAATATTACTGAATAAATAAAGGATATGCCTCATAAATGCAACTCCTAGAGTAAGAATCTGGTCAATTATAGCATGTTCTAAAGCTAGAGTTTTTACCCATGGGCTGCGTACCCCAGTGAGAACTCATACAATGCAGATTTTAGTGCCTGTGGAAGTTTTTCTGGGAAAAGAATGGCTTGCACCATATTCTTAAAGGAGTCTGAATCTCAAGAAGCACTGCTCTCTAGATGCAACTGCCCAGACCCCACTCCTGCTTCTCCATTTCCAATGAGGCCTTGGCCTGGGTGCTCAGGGCTGACCACTGGAGATACTTAGTGGACACCATGCCATCAATTTATGAGTGCAGGCAAAGGAGTAAAAAGAGACAATGTTATTTTAACACTTGGTACAGCGGAAAGGGGGGGAAAAAAGCTATTGGTAATAACAACTGTAAATAATAGCAGATTCTAGGATTTAGCACATACATTAGTTCTCACAGACGATGTGAGCAAGTTATTTTTATCAATAAATTCAATTATCTGTTCTTAGAAAATTATTTACATCTTTAAAATGTTAAAATATCTTTTCTGTCCTTGCTGCTCAGTGGCTACAATTCTTATACATTAGTTCATACCTCACTTGGAGTCTCTTCTGATCTAGACTATTACGGACACCTAGGGGAAGCTGATTAAGCTAACCAGACATTTAAATCATGTTCTGTCAATGCTTCCCTTTTTCTTGGCTCTTTCTTGATTATTCCTTATGCAGTTCCAGTAAGACAATATACTCTCAGAAGTCGGATCTGTGCTTCTGACACGATAATTTGGTAGCCAATCTAAAAGTTTTGCAGTCACATCTCCACTCTTAAATCCTTTGCAGATAAATGTTAAGTCCTGCTCCTAATGAATTCAAAGGTTGTTGCTTTAAATACTGTTTGGGTAGGAAACAGGGGACTATCATGACTCAAAGTCCTAAAATATGTAGAAAACATACTGGTAAGGGCCAAGGCTTTGCTACTAACATTACACCACCACTTCCTCTTTAGTCACTGCCTTTTCCTTCATCTAGAATTGGGCTTGTTTTCTTAGATTATGTCATATACTTCTTTCTCACAGATATATCAGAAACTGAAGCACGTTTCTCTGTTTGTATGTCAAGTTCTTATTGGTCCCTTCTACAGTGACTCACTGGCTCATCCTTTGGCTGAGAGACTGTTGGCAACCTACCATACAGTTAGAACTCTGGAACCTGACCTCTGCTCATCGGGTGGAGCAGATGAGAATACAGGAAATACCTTTTATAGCATAATTCTTTGACAAAGGATTTTCCCCCTAAAATGTATACCTGATACATTTTAATACCTCTGGATCTCTTGATTTTTAAATTATAAACTGTTTAGTTAGCCAAGAGGAGTTTAGATCAGAAAGCAAGACCATCCACAAACTATTCTAACTAGGAACCTGTACACCTATCCTCATCTTTAATTTCTTCCTCTCCATCTACATGCAATTAGTCCCTCAAGTCTGAAATGACTTTCAAAAACGTCTCATTCTCTTATGCTGGCTTAGTTTGGAACACTGTGTTTCCATCATTGCTAAGAGCCTTTTAACTGACTTCCCAGTCTAAGTCTCCCTCTCTCCAATATGCCATCGTAGGTTTATAGTTGTGAGTACGCAAAACAGAGTTTGTTCTTGTATTATTATTTATTAATTACTGTATTATTTTCCATACAAACAGCTGTAAGCCTACTTTTGCCCACCATGTATGGCACCCTTTCCTCTGAAATCTCAGCAATGTCTCTACACAATCTATGGCATGAAGTCTGCACAGCTCTTAAGTTTGGTTCCAACCTATTTCCACTCTCCTCTCAGTCTCATCATCCATCAGGCTTCCTTTCCAGGCAGCCTACACTGTGCAAGGAAGGAAGGTTTTCTACAATCTTATGAATCCCAGGAAGTGACATAAGCCTCAAAACTGTTGCCAAAAATTATTTCCTAAGGTTCAATCTGATTATACCATTTCTTGGCTTAAAACACACAGCTTTCATTGCTGTGCTGAGAAAGATAATGTTCAAATTTTTTTTTAACCTGGCCACTAAGACCCTTTGAGATTGGACACTTAGCCTATCCATCCCAGTTCCCATTAAAGCACTCACGCATTATATAGCCTCGTGGGTTGCTCCTTGCTCAACCTTTTCTCTCTGACAATCACCCATCAACTTTTCCAAACCATACTTATCTTTGAGAACCAGTGCAAGTATATCTTTACCGCTGAAGACTTCTACATCTTCCCAGCTAGAAGTGAGTACCCAGTCTCTGAACTCAAACAACACTGTATCCCACATAGTGCTAATACTCTAACACCTGTACTAGACCAATGATTCTCAATGCTGGCTGTTCCTTAGAATCAGTTTAGAAGCTTTTTAAAATACTGGTAACCAGACCCCACCACAGAGCAATTAAATCAGAAATGCTGACAGTGCAGCCTAAGTATTATCTTATTGTTAAAACTCCCCAGAAGATTGTGAGATGAAGCCAGAGTACGGAAGCACCATGTAAAAGTAACTGGGATAGTCTATCTTCTCTAATGGAATGTAAAGGCCTTGATTTCTCCTCATAATCATATTACCAAACCACAATAACTGCTAAGTAAATGTTAGAAAGGGGAAAGAAAGAGGAACAAAGGAAAAGGTGATTTCATACTACTTAAAAATTTGATAACTAAACTATTGGAAGCCTGTTTTAATTCCTGGAAGGAATGATGAGAGTGCTATTCTTTATGTCACCTGCCTTGAAAAAAAATTCTCAGCTACAGTAAAAAAGGCAAAACCTTGTTACTAATGAAGGAGTCACTTTATATTGGGGGGAATAGAATACTTTCTATCATTCAGAAATCATATATTTATCCCATGAGGTACTATTCTAGGAAACTTGAGACTCTAAAATGTCCAATGTAAAATACATTCTAGTGGGATGCAATGAGAGGGATCTCTGTCAATCACAGGTAAGAAGAAAGAGAGGAAGTCAGAAACAAATTCTGAAAAAGAATTTTAAGTAGGTTCCTAGCTACCTACACAATGGTGGAAGAAGCGTAAGATGCAATTTAGAAAAAAAAATCATGCTTACATTTCTGAATCACAGACTAAAAATATGAGGAATGCAATAGTAAACTTGTAGAAATGTAAGAATAATCCTGATGAAAGAAAAAGCAAAGTTTTATGTGTTTAGTTTTCAACTAGTGAAGGTTTAGGAAAGTTCTAAAGCTTTCTGTAACCTATCCGGAATAAAGCTTAACTGAAATGATGGATTGATATTCATTTTTTAAAAATAACTGATTAAGATATAATTCACATATCATAAAATTCACCCTTTTAAAGTGTACAATTCAGTGGTTTTTATAGTACAGCAATAATCACCACTATCTAACTTCAAAACATTTTCATCACCCTAAAGGAAACCATACTGCCTATTAGCAGCCACTCCTAAACTCCTCTTCCCTGCCCTAGGCAACCACTGTCTGCTTCGTGTCTCTATATATCTGCCTATTCTGGAAATTTCATCTAAAAGGAATTATATAACATGTGGTCTTTGTGTCTACTTCTTTCACTTATCATAATGTTTCCAATTTTAGTTTTTATACTGTTAACCAATAGTCCATTGTATGGATATACCACATTATTTATAGTCAGTTATCCTGTATAATAAAAGCCCAGCGACTGAATGGCCGAACGACCAGAACAACCAGTCAACCGGTTGCTATGATGCGCACTGACCACCAGGGGGCAGACACTCAACACAGGAGCTGCCCCCTGGTGGTCAGTGTGCTCCCACAGTGGGCCAATCCCCACAGGCCACACCCTCCACCTGTGCACGAATCCCGTGCACCCGGCCTCTAGTTTAGTAATAATTTATTAAGGCATACTGTTTTAGACATTGGGATCTAAAGATGAAAAAATCCTTGTTTATAAGAAATTCAAGAAGTTTCAAGAAGTGGGAAATGGATAAAGAGAATAGTATATTGATGGCAGAATGGAACCAATAGAATATAGGCTTCAGAATGGAAAATGGAGCTGGGAAAGCCAGGCAGGGGCCAGACTATGAAAGGTGTGACGGGCCTTGGCGCCATGATGTTCCAAGCACCAGAGAACCTTTCCTTTAGGAATAACCTTCCCACCATTTACTTCCTTTTTCTCTCATCTTCCAACACCTACATAAAGAAACCCAAACCCATAAACATCCACACCCATCTCAACTAATTCAATTACAATGTCATTCTTCAAAGCCCCTTCCATAAAACATTCTCTGATCATCCTGTCAGTAAGTAATCTTTCTCTTTATACCTTTTCCATAGCATTTAGTCATATACTGATGTATGCTAATACAACTGCATCTTCCTGACTGGTGTGTACTCTACTTAAGGGCAAAGGTACAAATATTTCTGAAATCCAAGCAGTGTAATTGTTGAAGGAATAAATGAAAAAAGATATATAATAGCTTTGGTTGATAGCAGGTATCTAGGAAGATGTGAACACAGAAAGAGCCAGTTTCAGTGAAGAGTCGTGAGTATGGAAGTAAAAATATGGGACAAGGACAGAAGAAGCACAGCCTGGGAAGAGCACAGATGAGAAAGGTCACAGGCAACTGGAAGAGAAGAGATAAACCGGGGTGATAATAACTACTGAGTGCCTGCCATCTGCCAGACAAAATACCAGTGTTTTATCACATTTAACTTTCTCAATCCTATGAGGTAGGTATTATTAGCCTCATTTGACAGAAAAAGAAATAAGCCTGAAGAAGGTAACAAAGAGGCAGAAGTAGGACTCTACAACCTAATTGCAAAGGACTTGTGCATTCTAATCGGCCACGCTACCACCCTACTTCTATAACTGTATTTAGGAATGCACACATGAGCAAAACTGTTGTTTTTATTTCTGACATAAAAATGCACAAGGATGTAGTTGACTAATTATATCCCGCAATCCACTAAACCAAGTCATACCATCAATAAACCCCATAGCCCAAAGTGATTAAAATTGGATACTTAATCATTTTTCTTTAAAAAGAAGTATCTACAGCCGCGGCCAGTGTGGCTCAGTTGGTTGGGTGTTGTTCCCAGCACCAAACGATGCCGATTTGATTACCAGTCAGGGCACATGCCCGGATTGCAGATTTGTTCCCTGGGGGGGGGAGGGGGGGCATGCTAGAGGCAGCCAATCAATGTTGTGCTCTCACTACATTTCTCTCCCTTCCTCTCTCTAAAAATTAATAAACATTCTTTAAAAAAAAAAAAAAGAAATATCCACATAAATTTCCTCATCTTGTGGCCGGCAAAGGAGAATTATTTTGGAAATTATGTAAGGTTCACTTTGGATATGAATAGAACTTTCCAAAATTTATTAATCTAAGAAGCAACTTTCTTTATTCACTCCAAGGCTGACTCAAAAATTGTCCTGAAACTGAGAGTGGCATTTTAGACACAGCATAACAACTAAAGGCAAAGGTCAGCAACAGTTAAATTCAACATGACCTCAACTGATAGAAACATTACCTTTTATAATATCTGAAATTAGTAGAAAATATTTACATGAGGATTTTTCCTAACACTCTATCAACTATAGTTTATCATGAAATTTATCAATGCATACCATATGTTACCAATAGCAATATTATTAGTTAGTAAGTGAAATACTGTTTTAGTAATAGCATTGTGGTTGGGGTAAGGGGTTTACTATGTGTATTTAATAATCACAAACAGGAAAAAAGAAAGCGTATCTCAAAAGCCTGTCTTTCTATCTAAAATAGCAAATGAAGCCTCTGTGTTGTAAAACAAATACACAAGCACAAGCAGGGTTGGTGTATCTACTCAATTAAAAAGTGCACCCAAATCTATGTTACTTGAAGCAAAAGTTGCAGCAGGCAAAAGAGCTCCTCAAACAATGGTTTCTTGCTTTTCAGAGCTAATGTAAATGATATCAAATACTTTTGAACAACTTTTACAAATTATAATGTCTATGTTGAAAGGTATGTTTTTAAAAAACAAACATGGTGCTAAAAATCTTTGAAATTACAGACAACGGAGCTATTTCTGCCTGCCTACACTTGGGAACTCACCACATGTTCAACACTTTCTGGCAGCTATACACACACATAAAAAAAAATACAAGGAAAAAAGAGAGAGAGAGAGATCATCAGAAACAGCCCACATTGAAATTATCACATTGTTTTTCATGCTTAATTTTTTCCCCAAGCAGCATTATAATTTAAACTCACAAAAAAACTAAATTAAAACTAATATCAATGCATGCAGCATACTATAAAATTTTAAAATTTTTATTCTTATGCTTAAATAAAAATGAGAATCTATAATATAGCAATACTTTTCATGCATCAACACTCGTAAAAATATGCTATTGATTCTAAATAAGAATTTGAGCATAGTTCTTAAATAATTTTGTATTATTAAAATACTTACTGAAATAGTACAATTCTAAAGTGATTAAAATAAACATATCACTTATTTTATAGGCACCTATTCCTTGAAAAAATATTCCTGAAATAATTGTACATGACTATCAATGTCAGACATGCATAGTTTTAGAACAAAAAGTTACTTAAACAAGCAAAACGAACACATACTTGGTTTCATCCATCACTTCTACTTCCGTAGGGGCTGTGATGGGTGCATTTGAACGTCCTGCAGTAGGGTCATCTGTGTTTAACTCTCCATTTGTAGAACTTACAACCTGCAAAAACAAACAAAACAAAATTATATATGCGCAAAGTAATAGGTTATACAATGATAAATATAACTATGCTTAAAATACTTAAATTAGAAAGTTAATATGAGGAACATAAAACAATATGTAGTTGTTCATAACTGAACACAGTAATAGGCCTAGCATTTTATTAAAGATCAAGATTTTCCAATATTTGCTTTTCAACTTCCTTTTTATCTTGAAATTTCTGTCTTCTGTCTCCTTCCTTCTGAATCCTACATTTATCTCTCAATCTCTTCCTTCTTGTATGCTCACTCTTTGGTACCTTGCTTCATCATGAATTATGTCCCTTGCAAACTTCAATATTGCTTCTTTCAATGACTCCTTCATTTCAATGTAATCATGCTCAGGTCTCCCTCTCATATTGCCCATTCATTCACCCAGTTGTTGAAGCCCCAAATCCAGGAAACATTATGATTCCTCTCTTTAACTGAAAGGCGTATCCAATTCATCAGCAAGTCTTATTGTATCCTTCCCAGAAATACATTCAAAATCTATTCAGTTCTCCCCCCTTTATTACTAAGACTTCAGTCCAAGCCACCAATATCTCTTGTGTGAATAAGGGCAGAAACCTATTAACCAGTCTTCCGCTTTTACTTGTATCCCCTCCCCCATTAATGTATTTTCCACACAAAAGCCAGAATGTACCGTTTAAGATGTAAATTAGGTCATGTATAATTACCTGCTTAATATTCTTCAAGCACCTGACATCCCACTTCATTTAGAATAAAGATCCATATTCTTTACACCAATTTACATAGCCCTATAATAAAAGATATGAACCATGCCTACCTCTGATAGCATACCACTTTTCCCTTTGCTCAATAGCCTCCATCTAATATTGTCAAGTTTATTCCTACTTTAAGGCCTGGGCACTATCTGTTCTCACTGCCTAAATTCCCTTCCTGGTTATTGGCTATCTTATCTTTTAGATCCTCAGATAATGGCTCTAAAACAGGCCTTTCTATCATACAATCTAAAACTTCCATGCAGACACTCTCTTACATATTATATTCTATTTTTAACTCTCTGTATAACATTTATACATGTTGATGTTTTTCTGATTGATTTTGTTTCTTGACAACCACATCCACCTCCATAAAAATTAAACTCTGTAACAGCAAGAAACCAGTGTTATTTCCTATTATATCTCTTTAATCTACCTGACATAGAGTAGGCACTCAATAAATATTTGTTGAAATAAATGCAAATCCTAAAACAAGATAAAAACTGTAACAAAACTCCCAAATTTACTTGGTCCTACAAATTCACCATACTGCACTACTTTTTGCCTTCCCCCAAATTTCTTGAAAACAAGTCTTAAATTTCCATTTCCATTTTTAGAAAATTTTCCCGCTCACTCATTCCTTAACTCCTTGCAATATGGATTCCGCCCCTACACCAGAACTCTAAGAGTTTTCTTGCACAACGAATCCTAGAAAATATATTCAGTGGTCTTTGCTCAATCCTCATTTTCCTGTACATTTTTATCACTTGGCACTAGCTAGAGACTTTGGAATAAGATGGGTCTAGATTCAAAACCTAGCTCTACCACTTACCAGCTACGTGACCCTGGGGAAGATATCCTATCTTGCTAAACCTCAGTGTCCTCAACTATGAAATTAGAAACAGTAGTATCTATTTAGCAAGGCTAACTGAGGATGAAATGAAATCAGTATATAAAGTACAGTGACTGGTATGTAGTAGAGCTCAATAATTGGTGGCCATCATAATTACTGTCAGTTTCACCTATAATGATGGTTTCAACTATCACCTCTATATAAAGGATTCCCTGAGCCTAAAAAAGTTTGCCACTTCAAATTCAGTATTTCCAAAACCAAAATTAACATAATCTCTTGAATTTGCTACTCTTCCTATGTTTCCATCTTCCCAAACCTCCAGGCTCAAAATCTAAGAATCAGCTTTGATGCTTCCCTTACCTGATCTCTTTACGAGAAAAAAAATGTGAACATATCAAAGGCCTGGGTGCCAGAGTTGCAGCTGATGACTAGACTTAAAGTACTTTTTACAGAACCCCATATTTCTGAAATCTAATTCAAAAGTTCTCACTCAGAGGCTACAACATGCCAGGCACTGTTCTAAGAAATTGGAATAACATAGTTAACAAAACAAACACCCCAGCTCTTGTGGAACTCATTTTCTAGTGTAAAGAACAGGTCCCTCTCTCCCCAACTTTAAATAACTAGAAATCAACCAATATACCTGGATTAATTCAGGAATTATGGAAGTTCAATTTCCTGTATCCTATGTGGAACATGTACTTAGAAATGAACTCTGCAGCAGCAGTCGCCAACCGGTGGTCCGTGAGGTCCAAATGGCTGGCGACCGCTGTTTTGCAGCATTTGCATCTACAGCTGAAAACACACAAAACTTGCTTGGTCATCTTTAGAGGCAGCCCAAGGATGGAAAGCCCTATGTGAAAGTCTGCCTCTCTGCTTCTGGGTTCCTGCTTCCTCCTTTCTGTCATTCTACTGAGTTCTGTGTTGATTTTTTTTCTCTTTATTTTTCCCTCCTTCTGAAAATATTTTAAAATAATTACTTGCTCTAATTCTCGAGCACAATTTGGTTCTTTATTCTTAATTTTTAAATGTCAGAGCCCCTATACTGAATTGGAAAGGAGCTAGAAAATAGAATTCTTATACTTTTTGGATTCCCCGTATATTTAACTAGCAGAGTGCCTTGCATGCACTAATAATCAAGACAGTTCACTAAACAATTTCCATTACTCTTCCCCTCAACATAATACTCAACAGGTTTATTTTCTTCCTTTCGCTCATTGGCCTTAGAGCAGTGGTTCTCAACCTTGGCTGCACATTAGAATCACCTGGGAATCTTTTTAAAATCCTGATTTCTGGGCCTCATCTCCAGAAATTCTGTTTCTTTGTTATGGGGTGGGGCCACAACATTAGTAACAAAGAAACAGAATTTCCGGAGGATGAGGCCCAGAAACCAGGATTTTATAAAGATTCCCAGGTGATTCTAATGTGCAGCCAAGGTTGAGAACCACTGCCTTAGAGGGACCCGACCTCAAATTATAAATAGCTCTTCTAACATGCCTTCCCTTACTTTACCAGTAAGCAGCATAATTGAAAATTTAAAACTCAGGTGTTCTAAATTTCCAGCAAACAGCAACTACATATGTACTATCTATATATATAAAAGCCAAGTGACCGGAACAGCGGAACGACCAGAACAACAGAAGGGCTGGTCACTATGATGCACACTGCAGTGGCCAACCAGCCCGATGGGGGCCCTGAT